GGTCTGTGAGTTCTGAGGTCCGAGGGACATTTCACCATCACACAGCGAGGCTTCGTGCGGGCGTCCATCTGTGTGCGACGCAGGAACCCGCCTGCACGGCGCTGCAGCAGTGGAGCGACGGCCTGTGGAGTGAGCTACAGGCTGTACTTCCACTGAGCTGTTCATCTGTTAACGATTCACGGTTGCATCCTGAACGATCTCTGCTCATCGTTGCTGAAACCAAATCTTTCATCACTCTTCAACCTTTGATGATTTTTAAGCTTTTAAGGATCTTACCGCCTGATCGGCTCAGTGTTAGTCGTACTCTACTCTGGACCTGCTGCTTATTCTTCATTTCCTCTAAAAGCTCCTGTAGTACTCGCGTGTCCTGCTCACTGAAGTACTTTAAGTATTTGTACTCGTACGCGGTTAAAAAAAGAGGAATTCATGCTGTAAACTGTGGGTGTGTCTCTGTTGCTACATCAGCTGTGTTGGGTGGGTAGGTGTGGGCACGTAGTCGCCCACTAGAGGGCAGAGCAGGACAGGTTTTACCCTCCAAAAATTCTTGTAATCACAGTTTTCTTCATCAAACATAAATCATTTTGTTTTAGTACAAATTACAGAATGATTTGTAAACATGACCAGAGTCAGTTTATTATTACTGTTATCCTCTGAGACACTGAGCTTCTATTGGAGCACAGCTCAAACCACTGCTGTGCAGGGATGTGCTTTCACTCTGTAATGCTCCAGTGAAAGCTGAGGGTCTCCAGAATAAAAGACTTCAGCAGGGATCGAGCTGTCACTGAGAACATCAGGCTAAAAACAAAAGTCCAGACTTGAGAGAAACAGTCTCACAGAAGACGCCTGCAGAGACAGGAAGCAGAGATTTCAGAGGCTTGGAGAGAAAACCAATAACTTCACTGAGCCGATGTAGTGACATCACTGCACACCAGGAAGCACGGGACTAAAACACAGACTGGAGTATGCTGAGGAAGATCCTGCAGACCGGGAGCGCCCTTTGGTCAGAGACGCTGCTGAGGTTCAAAGAAAGGAGGGCGAGGCTGTGCCCCAAACACCAGCCGGTCGCAGCAGATGGCCCCGCCCCTCCCTGAGCCTGGTTCTGCTGGAGGTTTCTTCCTGTTAAAAGGGAGTTTTTCCTGAGGCTGGTCGCCAAAGTGCTTGCTCATAGGGGGTCGTATGATTGTTGGGGGTTTCTCTGTATGTATTATTGTAGGGTCGGCCTTACAGCTCCTTAGGCGACTGCTGCTGTGTAAATAAAAGTGAGCTGAGTGTGAGACAAACACATGAAGGCTGGTGTCCAGCAGGGGGCAGCGGGTGAAATCATGTAAACAGTAAAACTGGGACGTTTTTTGTATTACGAACGATGATGATGATGATGATGATGATGATGATGATGACGGTCGAGTCGCTCTGTGGGACACTCAGTGAGTTTCTGTTTGTGTCTTTTTTCAGAAAGGATTCGGCAAACGAGACTTCGCAGACGGATCCTTCTAGGCTCAGCGTTCGACCTCGGGACCAAGACGAAGTTGACGAACCCGTTATGTGACTGCGACCGACTTCCAGGAAGGCGATAGTGACCCGGAGACGTGCAAACACACGTGGCGTTTGGCAGCTGTGCGTTCGCTCAGCTGCAGAGAGTCTGATGGGAAGCTCGCGTGTTTTCCGACACGGACACACGTCAGAGTCCGACTCCTTGGACGTGTTCGCGTTACGTGCGGTGCTCGTAGAGTTTAGCTTTGGTTGCCGATGCGTTCACTTACCGTTGTAAATATTGATGCACGTGTTTTAGGGTGTGTTCACATCAAACATGAAGGGTTCACCTCATGTGACTGCAGTCACCGTGGAAACCGGAGCATCGGCGTCCACGTGGCGCTGGAGGAGAATCCCGGCTCTGCGGTTCCTGCTGGAGGATTTTGGCTCGTGAAGGCAGATTCGCCGCCATTTGTATCGCCCAACATGAACTCATTGCATGAAGTTTGTATGTGATCACTCCACGTTTGTTGTGAACACACCGTTGAAGACCTGCAGGTCACCACTCACTCATTACTTTTTTAATCCAAAGGTCAGAGGTCAGATCTTCAGACTCTCACGACGTCTCACAGGTGCGTTCTGGCAGGTGAGCGGCGACCTGGGGCGTGCTTAGAGGTTAAAGGATGATTCGGTTTAGTTTAGCCTGACTTGTTTCCGTGGGCGATGGCTGTTGGGATGACTTTGTCGGAAAGCTGCGAGCAGATCGCGCGCCGCGAGCAGATCTCGCGCGGTTTGCTCACCGATTTCTGCAACTTCTGCTTTTCACAGCAGAGGTGTGAGTTGAGTTAAAGGGAAGCTCAGAGAGTCGAAATGTTTGATGATCTCGTGTGTAGGAACATTTTCTAACGATAACTGTTAATAAAAGGTAATAAAAGTGAAGTGAATACTTTAACTCCTGTATCTGAAATGAAGATTAACAACGATTGCTGATTGGTTGGTTTGTAAACCATCAATGAACAAATGCGTGGATGTTTCTAAACTGTCAATAAATACTGTGCATTAACAGAAGGTCTTTGGATGCTTCTTATTCGGCCGTGTTAGAAGCTGCAAACATTGTTTTTGAGGAGGTGTGGCCAGAGAACGCAGCCTCGCCTCATTCCCGCCGTGAGAAACATCTGCGATCGTGTTTCCCCAGCAGGTCATGTATGAACCTCCAGCACAGGAGCGTGGGAGCTGTCCACTCTGAGACCACCCACAGTGGAATAAGAGATGGAAACATTATGCTGCTAAAGTGACTCATGTAAGTGTGCTCCACATCACACACAGAGGGCGTGTTTATGTGTCGTTTCCTGACACCACCCACAGGTGGCGCTGTTTACTGCTTCTCAGCCCTGCTGCTTCACTCTGCGTGCAGCTGATATAAACCAGTGATTATTAGCATTAGCAAACATAACCAGTCTCACCTACAGAAGCATTTTCACACATGGCGTGGGTTTCACCCCTGCGCCCTCGAGCTCGCCCACAGCGAATGAACAAAGAACAAAACTGTTTCAGGATGTGAACACTTTTCTCCTGAAAACCTTCAACGTGCTTTTGATTGAAGGGCTTGTTGTCATAGTTCTGTTTAGGGCAGGACGTCCTTCACCTGTGAGTCACAGCCTGTTTACAGTTTACGGGAGGATCAGACACTGACACAGCAGAACGGCTCCACCAATAGGAGCGTTTAGACGTCCGTCCACCTGCAGAGGCTCACGCAGGCCGAGTGTTCGTTCTGAGACGTTGTGGCCTCGGTCGCACAGCAGAGACCGTCACTGACCTTCACCAGCTGGAGAGCCGTTATTGTAAATGCCACCTGCTGAAATCATGTTTGCACACAGCATTGCTCCACTTTCCAAAGAATCAGGCAGAAACTTCATCAGCCTGTTGGTGCAACATCCCTGCAGGATTGCTTCAGAGGCGCGACTGCATCCAGCAGTGATCTGCACGTCGCTCGGTGCAGCTGCAAAACTTCACCGAGCCTCTGTTCCTACTGTCAGCCTCTCAGACATCAGGACGTCCTCGTGCTGCTCAGCAGCCGGTTTCAATCAGAAAGTTCTCCCAGAAATAAAAACACAGACTGACATTAGGAGGCGAATAAACAGTGGCTCACATCCAATTTGAAGTAACATAGCAGTGAATCAGCTGTATATATGACCCCTCATTAGTACGAGAACTTTGAGGATTGGTAAATGGTCTGTAGCGCTTTACACACTGGTGATGGCAGCTACATTGTAGCCACAGCCACCCTGGGGCGCACTGACAGAGGCGAGGCTGCTGGACACTGGCGCCACCGGGCCCTCTGACCACCACCACCAGTAGGCAACGGGTGAAGTGTCTTGCCCAAGGACACAACGACCGAGACGATTACAAGGCGAACTCCCAACTCTTGAGCCACGATCGCCCCCATTATTATCACAGGACTCTGGATCATATAGTTTTATTTACACCCTGAGGAGGAACCGCCCCGTCAAGTGTTGCGGCTCCGTCGAGCCATCATGTAGTTACAGATTTATCAGGACGTCAGGTCACGCATAGGTCACATGAGAAATGTCTGTTTTTCACAATTATCCACATAAAGAAAACATCCATACATGTGTAAATGAAACAAACGTTATGTTTAGAGGACAGCCCGGCCAATCAGCTGCTTCCTGCAGTCGTGCTGACAGATTTCTTTACTGCGGAGAAATGTTGGAAACTTGTTTGTCTTGTTCTGACACTCAGGAATCAAACGTGTGGTGAAACTGTCACACTGACAGCACGCCGCTTTCCCTTCAGATCACAGTGGGCTGACCCGCGACGCTTTACGCCCTGTCTGTCCCTGCCTTTCAGAATAAAAGGCTTTCTGTAGAAAAGTAGAATTTTGTTGACAGAAGTTTACTGATGATGGTCGTCAGTAAAAGTGCTGCTGCTGCCGCCTGCAGTGTCTCATAAATATATATGACTGCAAATCTGCAGCCTATAACTCGTTCCAAAGAAAGAAAGCGACGCTGCAATGAAGGAAAAGCTCGTTTTTCTCTGGAACAAAGTTACATGTTTGATTTCCTTTCTGTTGAAATCTTCTTTGGGAAAGAAGAAGTGAAGGAGCATGAAAGCTGCTGACCACATGTTTGTAAAACTGTTGCATCGTCGTTTCCTTCTTGTTTATCAGAAATCTCAGTGCTTATTATACGTGCTCGTGTTTTCAGCCGTGTGCACAGAGCCGCTGTTCACCTTTGGTGCTGCGCAGCAATAACACTGAGCTCATGTGTAAACGTTTACAGCACAGGCGTAACTGCTATAAAAACTAAATTCATGTAAACTTTATAAGCTGAGGTTGAATATCCGTCATTTCCTGTTTTAAAGTTGTCCACGGCGGTAAACCCACTCCCGCTACCTTTGATGGCGTGTTGCCATGTCGTCCGTTTCCCACATGCAGGAATTATTTTTATTTGTTTGTAACATCATCATCTGCATCTGTACAGCTGTGCAGAGCAGGGAGGGCCGCGTGCAGCAGACAAATGAACTGAATCGTTAGTTGATTACTTGGCGGACAGTTTTGGTCCCCGGGCCTTATGTTTGACACCCCTGGCTCCCAGTTTGGCCCAGTTTAACGTGTGAAAGGTTTAATTGGTTTCAATAAAGCACAGTTAGACTGTCGAGTAAATCTGCAGCTCATTCTTCCTCCTGGTTCCTTCCAGCTTTGCAGCGTTTACTCATCCAGCTGTTCCAGAAACAGACAAACCGGTTTGTGTGTTCGATCGCAGCCGCAGCTCCGACTTTACCGCTCGTCAGACTCACAACTATTTTTATTTCTCACTACAAAGTCTCAGGGGAATACCAGTTTGTAACAAAGATCTATTCTGATCTATTCACATGGGGAGGATCAGTGCAAGTGTGACTGCAGGAGGTCAGAGTTCATGTTACGTGTACGGCTGTTTTAGTGTTTCTGGATTTTTACAAACTGTAGTTTTAACCACATGTCAGAGGCTGGATGCTCTTAGTTTCAGTAAAGCCTTATTAAACACAACTGTATTTGATAAATTCACCTACACATACTTACAGGGAGACACAGTGGAATCAATCAGATTACTATAGAAACTGATCATGATATTGTAAGTAGAGATGGACGATCTGATATCACGTGTCGGTATCGGCCAATATCCAAATTTATGATATCGGTATTGGACATAAAAAAGTGGTATCGTGCCATCTCTAATTGTAAATATACTGAAGGAGTCTGTAAGTCATTTTAAATAATGTTGTTTTTTAATTTCATGGAAAATCAATATTTCCCGTCTTACGTTGTATTTTTGTATTATGGGGATTTTAACTTTTTACATATTTTTCATTATATTTTTACATCGTTCGTTATGTTTTATGATGATGTTCCTTAATTCAAATGTTTTATTTCACTGATCTAAATGTGATAAATAAAAAAATTCTACATTTATGTATTTGTAGGTAAATAAAAAAACACTATAATTCAGTTTCACTGCAGCTGTGTTATAAAGTTTTACAATTTTATTGCACAAATGTTGCAGAAACGCATATTTTCACTGCTTACAGATCAAATTCAGAGCTATTAAAACATTCACACTCAGGCTGTGCTGAGGCTCGCCTCTTCACACGGTCGAGTTTGAACTGAACTCAGAGACGTTTCATTTTCCTGAAACCGGCTGATAAATGTCAGCTGTGCCATGAAGCTGGGAACTGTGGACCACAGCTCAGTTATATTCAGTTTGATTAATATTGTGCCAAATGACACCTCGAGGGCATTTAGGTTATAAGGTCGAGTCCTACACTCGCACAGAGAAGGCAGGGAGGTCAGACTGGATAGTTTCACTGGAACCATTAAAGTAGGTTGTTGGCACAAACTGGTCTTTCCTTCAGATGTGCCCGGGTTCAGAAAAGTCCCCAGAGTGGATGTTACACAACTGTCAGCCCACAGACAGCGCCTGGAGCTGTTTTGGTAAACGCCGCTGTTCCGCATCTTTATCGCTTTGTTTAACCGGTTTAACAACGAGTTCAGGCTTTGATTGCTGCGCGAGAGCAGTTTGGATCAAAAACCGAACACGGAAATGTCCGG